GTATCTTATTTTGAAGTTAAAAAACAAAACGGAGCAAAAACACCCAGAGGGCAGGATAAATGTCCTCCACGGGCCGAATGTGGCCCTCGGGCAATAGTTTGAGGACGCCTGTCATACACCATCCAATGTATCCATTCACCTACAATTCTGTTACTCATTTCCCTTGAGTGGCATTATACAGTCATCATTGCTGTCAGTTCCCCCCTTCCCCCCTCTCTAACCTTACCCTCAGGGAATCATTACTCCCATTACTATTTCTGAAGGGTTTATCAATCTTGGATTTCATGTATCAAATAATCTTACTTAAACAAATGAACATACACAGGTCTCACAAGATTAATGAGATAAAACTAAGACCATAGTAGCAGGGGGAGGAAATATTAAAGAACCAGAGGATAGTTATGTGTTTCATCAGGGCTATACTTCACCCTGCATATATCATCCCTTCCAGGTGGTCCTTCTGTGAGGACTGTCCAATTGTCTCACAGGTGGGTTTTGGGTTTCCACTTTGTCCACGCTCCTTCACATCAATCTGATTGCTGTGTTTGCACGTTTGATACCTATTCCTGTCAACACCTCATGATCACACAGGCTGGTGTGCTTCTTCCATGTGAGCTTTGTTGCTTCCCTGCTAGATGGCCACTTGTTTAAGTTCAAGCCTTAAGACCCCAGACACTATATCTCTCTATAGCCGGGCACCATCACCTTTCTTCACCACATTTGCTTATGAACCTGCTTTGTCCTCAGCGATTGTCAACAGATTTCTTCAGGCAAAGATTCACCTTCTCAGAGTTGTTCCTTTCATCATTTCGCCTGTTGGCGACCCCCAGTGTGCAGAGTAGAGCTGCACCCTCGGGGGTGCCAGGCTGTGACCTTTCAGAAGCAGATTGCCAGGCTTGTCTGCTGAGGCACCTCAAGGTGGGCTAAAACCGCCAACCATCTGACTGCATCACCCCGGCACACGTTCCCACTGATAGGTTCAAAAGTTTAAGCTTAGCATCTTCAGCGATGTGTTGCATGTTACCAAGCCACTGCCATAGACTGTAAACTGGGTTCCCGAGACTGTTTACAAGAGTAGAAAGCTCGGTCTTTCTCCCTGGTGGTTTCGAACTGCCAACCTTTCGACCACAGCCCAGCATCATAGCCACTACACCACCAAGGCTCAAGTGTGTGGAAGTTAAAGGTTTGTTAACCCTAGCATTTTCTCGTGACCAGTGTGTTTTTTGTCTTGAAACGTAGAAAATCACCAAAGAGATGGACAACTTTCTACTGGAATTGAGGCAGAAGGTCAAAATCGGCGTGGTGGGCGGCTCAGACTTTGAGAAAGTGCAGGAGCAGCTGGGGAGCAATGGTAAGCCCTTGCCTGCGCCACTTCCAGGAACGGTGGGCGGGCCATCGACACATGCCCCTGCCAGCCCCCAGCCTGCACCTTCCTGCCTGTGTGGCAGTCCTCCCGCCTCCTTGTTTGGGGAATGGTGGCTTGGTCCTTCAGTCCTAACGAAGTCTATGGCAGTGTGTTGGGTTGGGCTAGTAGTCCGTGAGTGAATCTGGAGAGGCTGCTGGGGCCCGCCCATAGGTGGTGTCACCTGGGCAGGCCAGTGCCTGTGTGAGACTTGCTGCCAGGCTGCCTCTAGACCCTCCAAGTCTCCTCTGTGCCCCATTTCGAGGACTCACCCAGACTCCTGCTTCCTGGGCTATGTCCCTAGGGTGGGGCTGGGAGTCATTGGCTCTCAAGGCCTTGTGGCTAGAGGTTCCATCTTGGCTGCTCCTCGGGCCCTGAAAGTCTATTTCAGCAAGTCCCCCAGATGATACCACTGTGTGGCCCGACTCATGGAGCACTGGCTGATGGGGGACACTGTGTACAGTCAAGAACTGGGACTATGGCTCCTAGGGCACCCCCCCTACCTCTAGTCACAGATACCACGCTCGCCAGTCCTCCAAGAATGCCTCCCGCCGGTGCCAGATGTCCCCTGGCATGGGCCAAAGGAACCTTCAGTGGTTCCAGCTCACAGCGACCCTGTCAGGCGACGAACTACCCTGTGGCTTTCCCAGACTGTCACTCTTCACAGGAGCAGACACCTCCCATGGAGCTGCGGGTGGTTTCGAACTTCTGGCCTTGTAGTTAGCAGCCTAGCGTGTAACCTACTCCGCCAGCAGGGCTCCTTAACCAGTGCTTGACGTGGAGAATTTTACCAGCAAATCTGCATGTGTCTCTCACAGTGGATGAAAAGACGATAAAACGCCCGGTTCCTCTTAGACATGATCTCTCTGAAACGTTGCCGCTGCCAGTGAAGTCAGCCTGGCAGTGCCCACGCGTTGCCTGGCCAGAGCCTGTGTGGGTGTGGGGTTGGTGTACATGCCAGAGAGTGGTGCTTGGAAGGGGCGCTATTCAGGCCGGAAGGAAGCAGCAGTCGCACCTGGGTCATCTGCTCCTGGAGCCCCACCCGGCCCACAGCCTGCAGTCTAGGGGCCCAGGCCTGGGAACCCATGCAGGATGCCCCTGCAGTATAAGGAAGGGGAGGTGGGTGGATGGTTCCATTGGAAAGCAAAGGGCCTTTTCTTGTTTTTCCTCATTCTCCCTGCCCGTTAGGATGAGCGTCTTTCATGGGCCTTGCCCGAGTCCAGCAGTTGTCCGGGTGATGTGCCAACAAAGAACCAGACACGTGGCTTTCAGTGACTGCCTCCTAAAGTCTTCTTTTGTTTTGGTTGTAGTGGTTGGAAAATATGATTATGTGTTTCCAGAAAACGGCTTGGTAGCATACAAAGATGGGATGCTCTTGTGTAAACAGGTAGGTCTCTGAGGCTCCAGAGAACTGTGTGCTCTTAGCAGGTGATTGGGGCCCAGTGCCTCTGCACGCTGGCCTCTCTTTCACGGGACTTTGATGTGGCTGCTGTCCGCTCCAAACTGGTGCCTGGGTCTTTGTCTTTCAATGTTGTCCTGTGACTTGTGTGAGTTTACTGAGCACGTGGGCTTCTGGTTCAGCATTTGATGCACATCGTGTCTCGGGACCAAATGGCTGTCCCCTCAGGCCTGCAGCATTCTTCCACCTTGCCAGGCCGTCTCCTCTAGTTCTTCTCTGCCCCTTCCTGCTTCCTGGGCTTTGTTTGGGCGCACATGCTGCCCGTTGTGTCTTTTATGTGGGAAAAGACCTTAGGATTTTCTCCCACTCTCTCCCACGTCTAATTCTGATCCCATTCTGAGCCGTGCGGCAGGAGCCAGGCACCGTCTAGTTCTTCTGGCCTCAGGCTAGTGGAGGCTGTGGTTCCTTAATCCTTTGGATTATTGTTCCCCAGAAATTTTGTTTTTTCTCATTCTTTGCTCCAGACAGGGGAAACCAGGGGTAGCTACGATCAGTCCTTTTTTCTTTGAGGATATTTGATGTTTGTGGAAGAGGCTGCTTTGACATATGCAGGTCCTTATTGATTGCACTTATAAACCAACCTTCACCACGATCAATGTCTAGATTTTTCATCCCGATATTGGCATTTTTAACAAACAGGCCCTGGTGGTGACTCCAGTAAGCTGCTAACTGAAAGGTCGGTGGTTCGAGCCTACCCAGTCTCCTGACAGTCTGTTTCGGTGAAGGGGGCAGCCTAGTAAAACCCAGTGGGGCCTTTCTACTCATCACACCGGGTCTCTGAGTCAAACCAACCTCGTGGCCAGTGCTGGGGAAGTGGGTTTCGAAGCACCCTCGTGGCCCAGTGGTTAAAGCACTCGACTACTGACCAGGTCAGCAGTTCAAGCATACCAGCCGCTCGACCGCAGAACTGTGTGAGGACAGTCTGCTTCTGTAATGATAGCGACCCTGGAAGCAGTTCTGCTTTGTCCACTAGGGTAACTGAGTCCAGTCCATTGCGTGGTAGTGTTTGGTAATAACACACACAGCATGCTGTGTGTTTGGCGCCCCCTCTGTACACTGTGCGCATTGCAGTGTGAGCTAGCCCTCTCTAAGGTGTTCTACGCGGGGAAACGTGGACCCAAGTTAGGCCGCTCTGTCTGGTCAGAGGAAGCCGAAGTGGAACAAATGTGTTCTATGAACGTCTGGAAGCGTTTCGGTGAGAGGAGCGCAGCCGAGAGAGAGACGTGGGCCTTCCACACAGCATTTGGAGGTTAATGGACACAGAAAGCGGGCATAGTGTAGCGAGAAGTGCCTTTTGACTACAGCCCTTTCCAATCGGCCCACTGTGTCCAGCCAGAGGAAAGGGAGAGAGAGAAACGGGCAGTGTGATGTGGCGCCACCCCTGCCACAGAGGCTGACGGCCTGGGGTGCCCTGCTGATGGTGGTCCCCGGTCTTTCCTTTATCTAGAGTATTCAAGGTCACCTGGGTGAGGGCCTCATCCAGGATGTCATCAACTACTGCCTGAGCTACATTGCCAAAACTAAACTCCCAAAGAAGAGGTAGGTGTGTTTTCCACAGGGGTGAGTGTCCCCAGGTAGCTTGGGGACAACTTCCCTCCACAGCCTTGGTGGATTGCTCGTACTAGAGGTGTGTGTTTTGTGTGTGTGTGTGTGTGTGTGTGTGTGTGTGTGTGTGTGTGTGTGTGTGTGTGTGTGTG